AATGATCTTGGCCTCGGTTTCCTTAAGTGGAAGATAAGGACTCGGGCCGAAAGGTTGCTGAGGCCTCACTGGGCTCAGACACTCTGCCCATGAGACACCAGGGAAGAGGGGTTTCCGCAGCGCCGGTTCGGAGACGGCACAGGAGGCAGGCGGGCAGTGACAGGGGAAACCTGCCAGGTCTAGGTTCCATCCCAGATTGGGCCTGCTAAGAAGTTTGCCCTGTGCCCAGGGCCCTGTGGGTGCCTCCTGCACCCACAGGCCTGGCTGCCCGGTTTTAGGAGGCAGAGAGGCACTGCACCAGCCGACCTCCTTACTCCAGACCCAGCTCCCGGCCATTTCCCCCTTCGGCCCCCCCTTCCTGCTGCCACAGGGGCCACCTGCCTCCGGCAAGGCCAGGCCTACACCTTTCACATGAGCTGTCTCCCAGGATTATTAATCACTCAGAGGAGGCCCCGCCTGGGGCTTTGGCATTTAAAAGAGCCCTGCTGGGAGAGGAAGGGCAGGCCCCAAAGCTGAGGAAGGGATTCCTGGAGTCAGCAGGATCCTCCCGGGATAGAGAATCCTCCCAGGGCTTCACAAATCACTGCGTTTTGGGGAGCACCTGTGTTCCCCCATTCCAAGTAAAGTGGGCCTCCTTTACTCTTTCCATCCAAAGAGAGTTATCCAAGCCTGCGGACCCTGTGCTGGGTGTTGCGTTACTTGCTGGAGGTACAAAGATACATTAGGTAAAGAATGAACCCCGCCCATGGGCCGTGTGCAGCCCAGCGGAAAAAAAGGCAAACCTCCTTCAGAGTGCTCTCTGCCCCCACATGCCCTTCTGCTCAGCCTCCCTTTCCGGGTTTGGAGATGGGCACAGGGAGACGGGTGGGCCCCAGGCTGCACACTCACTGATCACACCAGATGGTAGGCCAATGCCAATGGGACCACCAGGAGCTCCTGCCCAGCAGGGAGTCCACCCCGTGTCCCTGTACCAGCTGCAGGGCCCAGTGTGGATGCAGCGAGCAGCTCAGATGAAAGGAAGAAACAGGTCCTGTGGCTTTGGCTCTCCAGCTTTGCTTCTAGCCAAAGGTCTTCTAGTCCAGAAAGCAGCTTTCCTTCCAAGCTCTCCCATTCTGGGCATCACAGGGTGGGCAAGCCTGCTCTGCCCAGCTGTGCAGAGGTCCCTTGGCCAGGAGCCACCCATCCTGCAGCAGAGAGGCCTTTGATGAGGCTCCCTCACCTCTCCTGGAATACTTCTCCACTTTTCTTTCTTCCTATCAAAATCCTACCTCTCCTCCCCAAGCAGGCCCTCCCACTTCCACAGAGGGACTCTGCTTGTCTATGTCTCCATTCCCGTGCCTGTAAAAAGGCACACCTTGCCTTGCGCTGCTGGCCTGGCGGAGCTGCTGGCAGGTGGAGTGGCATTCCACCAGGGGGTTCACGCAGCCCTGGACCATGGAGCTCGCTGCAGCCCTGTGTGTGCCGTGTACCATTCTAGAGAGTGTGCTTTTACTCACTCACTTCGCCTTCACAGCAAGCCTCTGGCAACAAATTACTACTATCAGAGGTGCAAACAGGTGCACAGAGACACACAGCTAGCAAGTGGCAGAGCCAGAAGTTGAACACAGGGAGCCAGGCTCCAGTCTGTGTGCCTAACCGACCACACCAAACCACCCCCAGAGCAGCCTGTACGAGTGAGAATGCTGTAAGAACTCAAGAACATCATTTTCCCAAATGCTGCTGCCCCCCCAGGCATACCTTCAGTCCACCCCCCAGCCTGCCCTCTCTGATCAGACTCCTTAAAGCACAGGCTGTCCCCGCCCTGGGGTGCAAGTCCCAGAATTACTCAACCCAACCCCGGGACTCCAGCTTCCCCACAAATCCCTCAGAACCCCTGCTACCCACTCCACTCCTCCTGCATACACCAGCCACCTCTGGCTGGAGGATCCAGGAGCTGATGGCGTCAAGGAGAGGGCTCCAGAGGTGGCGGGTGGGGGAGAGCTAGGAAGAGAGCCTGGAGATGGATGGATCCTGCTCTGCGCCTGCCGGCATCAGCCGGGGCTGGGAGTTGAGGATCGGACCAGGCAGTGACGCGCCACCGCCTGCCCAGGAAAGCCAGCCCAATAGCTAATCAGACCAGATGCTCCTACCAGCCTCCCCCATTCCTTTGCCTCCCCACCCAGCTCACCGACCTCCCCGCTGCTGCCCAGCCCTGCCCTCCCTGAAGTCTCCAGCTGCCCCAGCTGATTTTATAAATGGCCCTGGCAGGAGGTGGGCACCTTGGCTAATTGAATCAGCGCCCATGAGGCAGGAGGCTGGAGGCTGCTTAGCATCACAGCTGAAAGGTGGTGGCAACAACAGCTTGCGCTGCCATCAGGGAGGAATCCAGAGAGCAGAGAGGCACAGGCAGTCTGGGCCTCCACTCACCCTGGAGCTCCAAGGCTGGAGCTCGCCGGGGCCCTGGCCTGGGAGCAGACTTCCAGGTGGACGGAAGGCCAACACACACACACACTCACATGCACTCACACCCCATTCATATGCTCTGGAAAAAGAACATGCAAGAGGAGACAACAGAGAGGGGGAAGAAACAGAGCAGGGAGAGCAACGCCATGCGCTCCTGTGTGTGCACATGCGGTTACGTGAACCCCTGTGCACAGCTCTATGACGGGCACCAGTCACAGGCTGGTTCTGGCCTGCCCTGAAGTTGCCTCTGCATCATAGTTAGCAAACGGAAACAGTGTCCATGGTATCAACGGCTGCAGGTAGCAGACAGATCCTGGGGCTGAGGGCCCTTTCTCAGTCCTCTGGCTTACTTTGCCCTGCCCCTGTTGAAACCAGTCGTCTGTCTCCTGACCTGTGAATTTGCCCTTCGACCCAAGGTGGCAGAGACCCTGTAAGGAGGAAGGGCTTTCCCTCTGTGCTTCTGTCTGAGGAGGCGGATCCCCCTGACTCATGCCTTCATGAATCCACCCAGCAACTGTCCCCACCAGCCCCTCTGCGAGGGGCTCCAGGCGGGCGACAGGGCTCGTGGGAGGAATGAACTAAGAGATGATGCATGTTTCACCAACGGGGGTGCGGTTGACCCACCGCCTGGTCCCGTCTTCTGCAAAGGCCCTGGCAGTGTGGTCAGCGTCCTCCACAACGGTCTCAAGGACTTTCATTACCCTTTCCAAGTTCCCCAAATGCTCCACTTCCCCCCTGGCAGCCCTCACCAGCCTCTCCCTACAGCCCCAATCTACCACTTCCCCTTTCCAGCAAAGCCGGTAGCACCAGAACAAAGAATTCAGAAGTCCCGGGATCTTGAGGAGGAGGAGGAGGAGGACAGAGGATTATGTGTATCTGAAGGAACAAGTTCTGAAATGCAGATTCCTCAAGCTATACCCTCTATTCTCTGGGTTTGTAAATATTTAATTTCTCTCCTTCAGGGCCAAGCCCGCAGGCCTGGCAGCAGACAACCCCCTGGCAGCCTTTTCCACAGGCTAGCACTGCCCCCTGCTGGAACATCCTCCTCAAGTGCTACGGATAGAAACAGGAAAGGGGGCATCCTTGCCCTGAGGGCCCCGCCAAATCCTACCGCCAAGCCCAGACTGGGAAGCGCCTGAAACCTTTAGAGACAGGGTCTTCCAGGGCTAGGGCTGGGTGGTGGCATCAGGGACAGCCCATTGGCACACACAAAAAGAGCCAGGGCTTCTGGAAGGCCTCCAGCCTGTCTCCAGCCTGCTTGAAGAGCCTCAGATTCCTTTAATGCCAGCAGAGGCACCGAGAGATACATCTTATATCACAGCACACCTGGGAGGCTGCCGGGAGATCCTTAGGTCTCTCTCACCTCCCTCCCACTGGAGAGCCCCTTGCCAGCTGCTATTGGTACCCCTCTGGCTGGACAGAGTAAAGCCATTTTAACCTGAACACATCAGAAACTAAGCTCTCTCTCTTCCCCAAATCCTAATCCCTCTGGAAACCCTATTTCTCTGTGTTCAACATCCAGTGTAACTCCAGGGTCTGCGGGCCCTGCCTCCACAGCGTCCTTCCGGCCCCCAGTCCTTTCTGAACGGCCCTCACTGGTCAGCCCCTGCCCACCAGGCACTTGGGGACTCTGCTCTGAAGCCTTGTCCCACCCCCAATTAGCCACATTTTCCTCCACAACAGGCGGAGCCCACCCTCCCTACCAGGCTGCCATGTGCCCTCCACTCAGAACGCAGAGCTCTCTCCTGAGAGCGCCCGCCCCTTTGCTTGAGCTGGCCTTTCTATCCAGGATGCTCTCTTCACATCTCCTTAATCATCAAGTCCCCTCCCACTCCCCCCGCCCCCCCCACCGAGAGCCCCCTTTAAATGCCACTTTCCACAGGGAGCCTGTCTGGGTTCTCCAGTGGACCCAGAGGTATCTCCTCTGACCCAAGGCCCTGAGTCCCTCTGTGGCACTAAGTCCCCTCTCAGGATAGACATCTGTGCCCCTGTCTCAGCCCCCTTCTGGGCTGTAGGCGGCTCAAGGCCAGGGCAGTTCAGAGCCTACAGACGGTGCTCCGTAGCCCTGGCTGGCTGGCTGCAGCAGCAATGTGCGGACCTACTTTCCAGGAAAGCCGGTTTTGAGGAACACAGCACACAGGCCCCAACCTGCGGGGAAACAGGACGCCAGGGCCAATGGGGAATTACAGGGTGGAAAGGGTTCTTGGGCAAGTCTCAAGGAAGGCAAGGAGCTGAAAAGGGTCCATCCCCTTTCTGGCACAGAAGGGGCTCGGAACTGCCAGCTCTTTCCTGTCGTCCAGTCTAGCTCTTCACACACACACCCCCACCCCCCACCATGTTTCTGGTGTTGGCCCTACACCAGCAAAGGGTTAGAGATGCTTGGACCTTTTCCTGCAGGGCCCCTACGTCTGCAGATCCCCGGCTCAGGTATTTGGGACCCAACCTAGGCCCCCAGAGGACGGTGCAGCTGGGAGGTGGCGGCCCATTGAAGCATCCATTCCTCACAAGGCTGCGGCTGGCCCACCTCCACCCCCACAGCACTGATGCCATGCACGAGCTTTTGGGGAACATTTAATGCCACAGGGGAGTCCAAAACCCGCAGGGCACTGCTGCCACCCACCAGGGCTGTCCTCCAAAGGGGACATTAGCAGGTAGAAGGCTGGCACAAGCCAGGCGGTTGGCTGACATCCTCCTGTCCTGTGCCCTAGATGCCTGGGGCTCCCTTCCTTGGACCCGGGAAAGAAACAAGAGGAAGTACAAAAGGAGTAGGAGGGCGTGGATCTCTTCAGAGCACACTTCCTGCTTTGGGGCGGTGACTCACCCAGCAGACCCCCAGGGACAATACCTGGGACCAGACAAGGGCAGCTGGAGCCTAGGATTGTGAGAGGAGCAGGTGGAGGTGCCTGGGGCCCAGTGGGCAAGAGTCATCAGCAAAAACCAGAAGGGCGGCCTGCCTTCCCCATCATGCTCCTCCTCACCAGCCTCCCACCCCTCCTGGTGTGCACAGGCCCACCTCAGCACTGGCATTCCGTGGGGCCCCCAGCTCCTTAGCCCACCATCACTTTGGGCCTTTCTTAAGTACAACATTGTCATACTCGGTTTCCTGTGGCCAGTCCTTCCCCACTGGGTAAGTGTGCTGGAGGCCACTGGGGTCTCCATCTGCTGTGGCCTGCCTCCTCCAGGCCTCACCCTGGGGTTCCTGTGGGCTGTCATACAGGGACAGGACTGCCACTCCCTCCGGCTCGTCGTATATGTGGTCGGGTCTCAAAGGTGGATGCTCCTCAATGCTGTCATACAGAGGGTCAGCGGGGGGCTGCGGAGGGACCATGAGGATGCCCCTCAAGCTCTTCCCCAGGTTACGGGCCACCGCATCGAAGGGCACTGCGTATTCCCCCTCTGGCCCCCGAGGCCGGGAGCTGGACACTGGGGCGGTAGGTGAAGGTGGCGGCAGTGAGTCGTGGGGCCGGGAGTAGGGGCTCTCCGGCCGCGGCTGCACCGCTGGCCCTGTGGCTAGCTGGGTTTGGGGCCCAGGAGGGGCCGCATTCTTCTGAGCAGAGATGGCCTCTTCCAGAGCCAAGAAGATCTCATTGCCTTGATGGGTTTTGAACTCAAAGTTGCCCTCTCCAGAGACACACCGCCGGCCTGCCTCAAAGGAAAAGGTTACCTGGGACGAAGGGGAAAGGCAGATGACTGGCTCGGCCACAGAGCAGGGTTGATTCTCCTGGGCCCAGCTCCAAAACTCACACCCATCACCTCCAACTTCCCTCCACTGGGACCTGTGGGAGCCCTCTCCCCGAGCTGTTTCTTCCCTGCCTACCCCCCTCCATGTTTTTCCTTACCATCAAAGCCCCCTCTCACCTCCTTCTCCACTCCCCTCACGCCCCCTCCCATCTATCCATGGGTAGAGCCAGGCACGCACTGCACACTTCATCCTTAGGAACACCCGCAACCACTGACTCCGACTGCTCTGCCTCTCCTGGTCTCCGTCCTTGGCCGCCCTCCTCTGCCCTCTCTCCCACCAGCATCTCTGCTTTCACTCCAGCTCCTCTGGTTCCCTTCCCATGCTCTCCTTCGGGCCTTTATCTCCTCTTTCCTCCCTCCTCCCTCTGTCTCATCCTCGAAGGGCCCCTTGCACCTCTCCCCACCATCTCTCTTCGCCCCTCGCTCATCCTTTCTCTCCACCTGCTGCAGAGCCCCAGCTCACCTTGTCGCGCCCAAAGCGCCGCAGGAACCTGTAGGGCCAGTCGTACAGCTGGGTGCGGGGCTCTGGGCCACCCCACAGCTCCAGGGCATTCTTTCCAGTCCGGAGGGTGTAGGACCCCCGGAGCTGGCACCTTTCACTGGCTTCTGTGGGTCTCACTGTCACAGCAAACTCCTTGCAGGGGGCCACTGGGGAGAGAGGGGAGAGAAGGCTGTTCGCTGGCCTCAACTCTGCCCTGCTCTCAATGAGTGCGGGCCAGAGGCTGCTAGAAACAGCCATTCACGTCAGTCAAACTCCCCCAAACGCCACATACCTCTCCCGCCCCTGATAGGCATCCTGACCTGGCCACATGTACCCCAGCCTCGTGCCCACATCCTTCCTACCTTGTTGCCAGAGCCACAGCCCTGTCTTTTCCGTCTCATCAACCCAGCCACCTCCCCAGTGCCCCCTGTCCCAGCCACAGGTGCACCCCACCCTGCCCTCACAGCTGTCAGCCTCCTCACCCACTGTGGGTGGAGCCTGGACGCCCCCCCCTTCCTTCTCCTCCCACACACACCCACCCAAAGACCAGACGGACCGCAAGGGGGGGATTGCCTTGTCAGCAAAAAGCTCCCTGTCACAAGACACCTTTAATCCACAGAAAGAAAGCCTTTCTTTTTTCGTTTTACAAGTTGCTCAGGTCCTAACAACAAAGGGTTCAGAGCAGCACCTTCAGCGAGCCCCTCAGGCCTGCCCCACCCCACCAGCAGGGCCAGCAAGCGGGGGCGAATTGGGGTGAAGGGCTGACAGTCAAGGCGGGCAGGGCACTCCACCTTGGGCCATGCCCGGAAGCGATGCAGAGAGGCTGATAAGGGGGCCGGCTGGGCAGGGGACAACCACAGGCAGGAAGACTCAAGACACAGAGGCGAGGCAGCCAGAAGGCTGGCCCACACCTCCACCCCAGTGGCCCCACTGCGCCCCCTCACCTGTGGTTGCGGTGCTGTACAGTTCATTCTCCTCCATGTGGGGCCGGCTGCCGGGCCCCTCTGGCCCCGACAGCTTCTTCCTCTGGCCCTGGGGAGAAGGCCAGGCTCTCAGCACTGTCGCCAAGCCCAAGCTCCACCTCGGGCCTAGGCTTTCTTTCGGGGCACACTCAGCCTGCTGCCCCGTGGGTCACCCCCACCAAGGAACCACCCCCAACACCCTGGCCGTGACCCTTACAACACCTGCCCACCACAAGTACCAACTGCCCCCACCCCCTTGCCCTTTCTGCACCCCCGCACAACTCACAGGGAAGGCTAGGAGGCAGATGGCCTGCACCCAGTCGCTTCGCTCAGCTGTGGGGGCCGCCAGCAGGTACAGGCGCTCCTTGGTCTCCAGGAAGAAGGCGCTGGTGTCCTTGGGACTGCTGGCCTCTCCACTGGCCTCAGTCACCCGCAGACAGTCACTGAGACGGATCACCCTTCGGGCAGCCTCTCCCCGGCGCGACTTCTCCGGGCCCTCCTGGAGCTCCAGCCGGGCCAAGGCACAGCCCGACTGTCCATACAGTGTAGCCCCAAACCTGCGCCATTTCTGAACCCAGATGCATGGCAAGGGGGTGCCGAGAGGGAGCCAACCAGAGATGGAGAGACGGTGAGCAGAGGGAAGTGGTGGAACCATAGAAAGGGACTGGGGCAGCCCCTTGGGGATGGGGAGAGTGGTAAGAGCCCAGGAGGAACACAAACAGGGCCTGAGGAACCAGAAAGCATTGGAACTAGAGACCCACCACAGGCAGCCCAGAGAGGGGCCTGGGATGACAGCAGAGAACACGCTGGAGGCAGAGGCAGCACAGTGAAGACTGGCTGCGAGGCCAGGCGGGCCCAGCCCAGGGGGTCCACGCCTAGGGGCAGAAAGCCTGTGAGTCCATGAGGCCCAGAGGAGGTGTGGGGAGGGCAGCACCAGGGCCAACAGGGAGACCATCACTCTCGTGTAGAAGGCCTTCCCTCCAGGACCTTCACTCGACCCTCCTGAACCTTCCCACCTCATCCCTTGACAGGATGGCAGAAAGGGAGGAAGGGAGAGAAGGGAGGAAGGGGGGAGGGGGGAGGGGGAGAGAAAAATGGGAGGAGAGAGACAAAGAGAGTGGGGTGTCCAGTGTGGATCAGTTGAGGGAAAGAGGAGTTCCTGCTTCAAAGAGGCCAGGGAAGGAGAAGGAGATCGGACACACTGGGGCTCTCTGCTCAAGCCTACACCAGCCAAACCTACCCCCCATGGGGCGGGCAAGAAGGAAGGACCCTCACTGCAGCCCTGAATTACCCTCTCTGCTGCTTCTCTCTTTCCCTTCCAAGGGGGGAACCTAAGCTTCCCTTTCCCTCCCATGAGAAGAAGTCACCACAGAGCCAGAGAGGTAAGAGAGGGAGTCAGAGCCTCCCTTTACCATCCCTTCCCCAGCGGGGAGGGGGGGGGCGGGCAGGGGGCAGCATCAGCAGAGAGCACAGTGTGGGGCCTGCTTGGGGGCACAGGCAGCCACAAAGGAAGGAGCCCACCCAAGTTCAGCTCTGGGTCTCCACCATCCCACAAGGGTTGGGGGACATTCGGCGCACTCCTCTCCTCCCTGGAAATTCCTCGCGGGCCAGACTCGCCCCTCCTACCTTTCCGAAAGTCTGCTGCTGCTGAAGGTACAGGAAACCCTGCTTCACCGCGTCTGCCATCCTCCCACCATCGCGGTGCCCGGCACTGTGGCCGGCCGCTCCTTCCACCGCCGCCCTCTTTCTCTCTGCTCTGCCCCACAGCGTGTTCCCCCTGCTCTCAAGTTCATTTCCTCTCTGCCTCGAGTTCTCTGCACTATTCTAGTCTGCTTGATGACGACAGGCTGATAGGCCCTGCGGTTTCCAGCTCTGTGTGTGTGTGTTTTTTTCTTTTTGATGAGTTGAGTTTCACAGTCGAGCTTCCTGCATTTTCAGTCAGTGAGAGTTAATTTCCAAACAGCCCACCTCCAGCTCTTTGTCGAGCAACAACTCAGGTACAGAAGCCGGCATGGGGAGTCACCAAGGAGAGTGGCTGACCCATGGGAATGAGGAGACCCTGAAACCAAGCCTGAGAGTCAAGCCCACAACAAAGGCCCCCTCACTCCAGCTGGGTGCTTAGCCTGACAGAGCTGGAAGAGAACTCAGAAGTCGACCAGCCCAACTTCCTAATTTAAAAATGGGGAGACAGGTTCAGGAAGGTCTGGGGGATGTGCTCAAGGCCACCAAACCAATCCCAGGCCTCAGGACAGTGTAAGAGCTGAGCCACACAGCACGCCAGCTTGCAGAGCACAGGAGCACTCCCTGCCCCCAACAACAACCCAAGCTCTCCCGGCCTCCCTGAGGTTCCAGACTGACGAGTGTCCTCACATGCTCCCCTCCCAGAGCGCATCCAACCTGGGGGACTTCACCATCCTTCCAGACTTGGTGAGCGTTATAAAGACACTTGAGTTTCATCTAGACATTATCTTTTTAAGTTACAATAGCGATCACTTATATTTTTAAAAAATCAATTCACAGTCACGGAAACAAAAGTGCTTCCTAGTTAGCCAAGCTCCTAGGCACACACAGCTGCCAGCCACACTACCTAGCCCTGGAAAAGGAAGGGCAGGTGTGACACCCCTGTTGGTAACTCTCCTCCTGAGGTTGCAGGGCTGCGGGGGCACGGAAGGAAGTTCCAGGGCTTCTGATCTTCAATTCAACGGTCCTTTTACTGCTGGCTCCGAAGTGGCATCCAGACTTCATGCAAGAAGGCACATTGTTTGGGGGAACCTAAGCTCCCCAGAGAATATTTAACTTACAGCCAGATGGTTTTATGAAGCAATCTGAGGGAGGCATGGTGCAGAATGTTGGAGGGACTGGGAGAACTAAACCAGCATTCTTGGGGTAACCCCACAAGAGGTTTATGTAACTGGGCTACTTCCTCTGCCACCTGGAGTTCAAGTGCCTCGGGAAGGAGAGCAGAGAGGGCACAGCTCAGGCCTTCTGCTGCACACTCAAACAGCTTCAAAAGATGAATGTTGTGAGCTCTTGGAGGAGAAGGTTGAGTCACGTGAAGCCCCTGGCACTCGGCCTGCTGCCTGGGCTCCAACAGGATGATCCAGAGACCAAGGGAGGACCAAGGGCGCTGGTGGGGAACGTGCTTTGAGAAGTGGTCAGGAGTATGGAAATGGGACCAGGATGATTCCATCTCTTCAGCCCCTAAGGAAAGACACTATCTGAAGCCAACGTCAGCATCTCCCTATAGAGCAGGAAGGGCTTCCGGAGCTGCTGCCAGAGCAGTGCCTTTCAGCCTGAAATATGCAGATCTTGTTAAAGGGCAGACCCTGACATAGTAGCTGTGGAGTGAGACCTGGAATGCTGGTGCTGTTGGTGAGTGGGCCTAACACACTCTGGGTAGCAAGACAATAGATGTTCTTCCTCTACTCTGATCTGATCGCCTTCCCCTGAGGTAAACCCAGTTCCGGTTGGAACCACGGGGGGGCGCCCGAGCTTACCACAGGACTGGAAAGCTATTTAAACCTGGAGGCCTGAGGCTGAGCTATGCCACACACCCTCATGGCCCCCCTTGCCTGTGGCTGTTGTCTGCAAAAGATAACACAGCAGGAGTGTCCTAAGAGAGACTCCCCTCAAGGCCCCTCCCACTTTCCTTGGCAAGACTGACCCTGCAGTGGAAGCACTAACCCCATACCTTCTTCCTAGCCACAGGTGGACCCTGTGATCAGTGAGTGACCCAGAAGACAACTCCAAGACACAGCTGAGGGCAGAAAATTAGAGGCCCTTAGGTCACCCAGGCACCAGTGATGAGCAGAGAAACCATTGTATAGGAAAGGGTCCCAGTGTTTTTATAAGGAGGCACAAGTAAGGTGTAGGGTACCCCTTGGTGTCTCTTTCTGCTTTATTGGCTAGGAAGGGACACCCCTCACCTCCCACCCCAGTGGTCCCTGACTGCGGGGGAGGGAGGACAGTACCAGTCTCTTGAGTTCCATTCCTAGTCCTCATCACTTTTCCATTAGCTATACCACTTTTCTCAGTACTAAGTAAAAAAGAAAACCCAGGAGAGAGAGAGAACATGAACCCAATTCTGGAAACTCTGAGAGGAAGGGCTTATAATATAACATAACTGTTCCTTAATATTGACCTAACACTTCAAAAGCTTTATGTTCTCCTATGAGCCCCACACACCATTAGAACGAGACTGAGCTATAAAGAAGTTAATTAGTTCAAAATTCATTATTAAGCACCTACTCTGTACAGAGGTACTGGGGACAGAGCACGAAGAGGACAGACAGGAGCTTTGTTCAGCCGCAGTTACTTTTTGGTGGGAGACCCTGACAATGAAAAGCGCAAACGTCCAAGTAAAGAGCTTCGGACAGTGATCGATGCCGGAAGTGTGACAGTATTGGGGTCGGGGCAGCTTTCGTGGCCTAACAAGAAAAGCCTCTCTGAGAAGATAAAACTGAACTGGAAATGAAGGCGATTCAAGTTAGGCATCTAAAAGTCTTGACTGGCTGCCTCCAGAACTCAGAACTGAGATCATTGTCTGCTCCAATCATTCCTCTTTGCTTTTGTTCCCAGAGATGCCTACCTGGTCGCTCGAACCACAAGTTTATTTATCTTTGGGAGCCCACCTGCATCACCGCTTCCTAAAGTGAGACCCAACTGTTAAACTGAACGGAACTGCTCTCCAGACTGAGGACAGTTTAATGAGGTCGACTTCTGGGATGTGAAGCTTTCAAGGGAATTTCAGAGGAGGGAACTGTGGCAGTTCAGAACAAATCACCCCAAGATGTGCCTCTGTGGTTTGCAGATTGTTCTGAGTTAAAGGCAACTTTAGCCATAGGTTCAAAAGAAACTTCTGCCCCGCCTCTCTTAATTACCTAGAGGAGCTTAAATCAGGGGCCTAGCCCATAATAGGAGATCAGAGACAACCTCTTCCGAAGTGTCTGCAGGGTGGGAAAGTTTTGCATTCACTAAACTCTGCTCCTCTTCTCACCCTGCAGTGGCCGTCTGAAGGCCCCAGGGCACCTTCTCTACTCAGCTCAGAATGTTACACACCCAAATTTCCTTTCCAACTCTGAACCTCCTGTGAGGTGGGGTCTCTGATTCTCTCATGTATGTGGGGTTCCCATACATATGTATGCATTAAATTTGGTTATTTTCTCTTACAAAAAAAAAAGTCAATGGCATGAGGGAAGCAGCCACTTAAAGATCTGAGGAAATCAATATTTCAGGCAGAGATTACTTCAAATGTAAAGGCCCTCAAGCAGGAACCCCTGGATGTGAGGAAACTGAAGAAGGGCAGAAGGACCACAGCACCGGGAACAAGAGCTGGCATGGCAGAGATGAGGTCAGATCACATGTCATCTGGGGCCCCAGCCAAGATTTGGAATGTTTTCTAAATGCACTAGGAGGCCACTTAAGGATTTTTAAGCAGGGATATGTTATCTGATTTATGATTTTAAAAGAATGTTCTGCAGCTATGTGGGAAATGGATTATCCGAAGGCAAGCTAGGAAGCAGAGAAACTAGTTGGGAATCTATTGCTAGAGCCCAGGAAATATATGATGGTGGCCTAGACAGGGTGTTAGTGGTGGCCATGAGAGAAGCAGCCAGATTTGAGTATGTATTAGATAAAGATTCAACAGGACTTCCAAGTGGACTGGGTGTGGAGTCTGCTGAGACACTAGCAATCAAGATGGCTCCTGGGTTTTCAGTCTGAGCAACTGGATGAATGGTGGTACCATTTACTAAGATAGGGAGGATAGGAGAAACCAGTGTAGGGAAGGGTATGGTGGGAGATGGGATTTTGGCCTGGCCCACTGGGAGCTGTTAACTTCTACCCAATCAGGAAGATAGGGTATTGGAAGACTGACATTGAAATTATGACTTGCCCTGACCGGTATTGAAACCAGAAAAGACACCAGAGTTCAGGCTGCCTGTCACTACCAAACCCAATAAGCAATGACAGCGATTGAATCTTTATGGGCACTTTATTTAGATGGCCGATGATCTGAGAAGATGGTGGGTTCTACCCTAACAGATCATCTTCTCTTTTCTTTCCAGGTCAAGGTTTCTATAGCAGGAAATAAACAAGGTGTGGAGGGGTTTTGAAATTCACGGAGGGTCAGGTGGAAGAAACTGCAACATTCTTGTCCTGGGTGATTAGCTGTTCCCAGGGGCAGGCTGTCCTTTGCCCCTCCCTGAAACACAATAGCCTAGATGCTGCCCATTGTTCCCAGGTGGTAATCTTTAGCAGTGCCCTGGGAGGTCAGCTGTTTTCCCAGGAGCCAGTGTGGGCCTTATCTGTAGTTTCTGAAACAAAAGTTTTAACATACACATTACTTGCTAGGTTTATAACTATTTACCTTAAACTAAAAATTTCCAACTCTTAAGTCCCCTATCAGTGTGAATCAGTGGGATTGGGTGTCATCCCACAAAATCAAAAGGCTGTTGTTTGATTCTGTTAGGGCACATGCCTGGGACACAGTCCCTGGTTGGGGTGTGTACAAGAGTCAAAAAATCAGTATTTCTCTCTCTCCCTTTCCCTCTCTCTAAAAATAAATGAATGAATGAAATTTTTAAAAATTTTAAAAAAGAAATTGTGACTCCAAGAATATACCACTATAGCTGTGACGTGAAGGTCAGGAAGCACCTGCCCACCACCCCTGCTCTCTACACTGAGGGAACTTCCAACACTGCAAGGTTGTTAAAAAACAACAAAAAACCCCACTACATCCCAGAGGCAACAGTCAAAAGCAGTCTGCACAGTCTTACCTCAGTGAAATAGGCGG